ACACTGATAAGTAGTAGTGCCTTGGCTATGTTATTCATTCTTAACTGTAAACGGCTCTTCAGGAGCATGAGGGCCAAGATGCCCTGCCACAGGCATTTACTCTACAACAATCAACGTGTGCAATATCCCATTTAGAATGGCATTGTGCTCTTTGCATCTCTTGGGGGCTTGCCCCACTCAGACACGGATTGATAAAGCAGCAGCTACTGCAGCAAAATGGCAAAGAGATAATGAATTCCCCATAGTGCCTCTACCAGTGGCTAAACAGAGTGCCATTCCAGACATTCAGTATCAGATTAACTCCCAGATCAGGACTTGCTCCTCTTAGCAGCTGATACATCAATCCCATTCTGCTTGATCAGGCCTCTAAAAATCCAGAAGCTGTAAGGAGAGAACAGCAGTTTTTAGCTCCTGTAACAGTAAGAAGCAGTTCCAAACTAGTCATTAACATCTGAGGGTTCCCAGCATCTCTGTAAGGATATTACTAATTAGCCAAACATCTCCCTAAAGGAAGGGGAGTAATGCCTCTGCCCACATCTTTGTTAGCAAGGGAAGCTGAACTGCACTTGACATACCAGTTGCGGCAGCACTTTCTCCACATGCTCAATATCCACCCTGTCCAGGTCTTCGGCCTGCGCCTGCCTTGCTCCACGTGCTGCAGCTTCTGTGACACATGCAAGACAAGATAAGCATCACAAAAAGGTAAGATTTATCTGGGAATTGGCTCACGTGGACAAAAATCCACTAACATTTATTTGGACATAAACTTTTGCATTTAATCAGACATGGCAAAATGCCCCAGGACTACTTTTTGCAGATACGAATTAACACTGCTACCCCTCTAATACTAAGCTATTAGGGCTGAATTTTGGGGTGTGGTTACAGCATCACAGGGTAAAACAAGATCCTTCTTGGTTTTAGTATCCCAGTCTTGTGTAAAATGGAGTCTTTCATGGCATTATACAACCACATCTGAGGCGACTGCTGGCTCCTCTCCCGTCACAACACTCCACTCACACTAGCTTGTGCTGTAGCACTAGGGAGTGGCTCCAAACAAGATAAAGACAATTCTACAGGCCAAATAGGTGCAACAGCCTAGCACTGGGGCTCCTACAACTTGATAAGCTGGTTTCCTTACACTGTCCTGTCACAGAAACCTGGATTTGCTAATCAGGCTACATAAAGAAGGAGCAACTCTATGGATGATTGCCTATACTGGAGGGAAGTTTGGGAAAAGCTCCATCAAAACACAAAGTGTTTGATCTGTCTCAACTTTTCTAACCCACATCTATTGCCACAAGTCCTGAGAATAAAAGGGCAGCTTCTAAGCACTTACCACGAACAAACACTTTCAGCATTTCTGCCATTAGCAGCAAAGCATCACTGCTGACTAGAGAAAAAAGCAAAACAGCGTTATTAGAAGACGTGCTACAGAAAGAGGAGGGATGGGTGTAAACTTAGGCCATTAGTCTGGCACTTACCACCTGGGTTCCAGTCTCTGTTCTACCACAAACTTCCCATCTGCCTCTGGGCAAATGCCTTGAGTGAATTAAACTAAGCTAGTTTAATTCTGGGAACATTCACATATGGTGAGAGTTTGCTAACAGTGTGCCTTGTATTTCCCCCTTTCAAAAAGCCAGGCTGGAGACTGTCCAGTGTGAAAGGTATTTGCAGGTGGAATCTTTTAGGAAATTGGTGGGAGAGCTATAGGAGGAGGTGGCAAGGCTGAGAAGCATCTGTGCCTATGAAGAATTCATAGTTATTTCTGGCAGCAACTGCCCTACTCCGTCTGTCCACTCTAGTGATGAAAGGTTATGCTGTCCTGGAAGAGAAGCCATGTACCTTCAAGGTTAGGACGACTGCAGCCACCATTCCCAGGAAGAAATATAGTGTAATGTTGGTTGATTACTCTTTTGAAGGTGGACAGAAGCACTCATGTGTTGCCCAGACCTGACATCGGAGGAGGCATGCTACCTGCCAGGAGCCCATATCTGAAACATTATGGAGCAACTATTGAGGATCATCTGGCCCTCTACCTACTCCCTTATGCTACTCATCCATGTGGGCACTAATGATACTGCAAGATGTGATCCTCAGCAGATCAGAAATGACTTACAGGGCTCATGGAGTAATGGTGAAGAAGCAGGGGTCACAGGTGGTGTGTTCTTCAGTCCTTCCAGTCAAGGGTAGGGACCTAGGCAGAGCCTCAAGATGAATGCCTAGCTGCAACGATGGTGTTGCCAGGAGGGCTTTGGCTTCCTTGACCACAGGATGCTGTTCTGGGAGGGACTGCTAAGCAAAGCAAGGGTCCACTTAACGAGGAACGGAAAAAGCATCTAACCTAGTGAGGAGTGCTTCAATTAGGTTTGATGGGGACAGGTGGTAAAAGCCCACAGGGAAGTCCAAAACATGGAGACTTGGGCATAGGGATGTGAAGGTTTAACCAATTAACTGATGAGGCCTTCCTGTTAAGCGGCTGGAGCACTTCCCCACTTGCTGTGGGTAGGGAGCTGCTCCAGCCTTGTGGGGGGACCCACAGCAGGTGCAGGCTCCACTGGAGTCCCAACCAGAGCAGCTTCTGTCCGCAGCAAGCCAGGCATCCCCTACTTGCCTTCCTTTTAATTGGTTAACTGGTTAAACAAGCAAACAGGATTTTACATCCTTACCTGGAAAAAGGGTCAGCATGGACTGTTGGAGCCCGGATAAGGGAGAGACAAAGAGAACAGAGGGCGGTAATCAAATCAGTACTGTAGATGTCTCTATATTAAATACAAGTAGTATGGGGGAAAAGCAGGAAGAATTTGAAATGCTAGTTGTTAAACAGAACTATGACAGTTGGTACCACAGTGACTTGGTGGGATCACATGCATGGCTGGAATGTCGGTATAGAAGGGTACAGTTTGCTCAAAGGACAGACAGGAAAAAATGGGAAGTGTTGCCTTACATTAAAAAAAATGTAACCTCAGTCTAAGTAGGTAAGATAGAAAAAGGAGACAGACTTTATTGAAAGTCTTTCAGTAAGGATAAAGGGGGTAAAAAAGGATGATGATGTGTAGTAGACCCTTTTAAACAAAATCATATAAAGCATAGGACATGATGGTAGGGGATTTCAGCTACCCAGACATCTGTTGGGAAAACAACAAAGCACAGGGCACAGATTATGCAACAAGTTCTCATAATATATTGGGAGGCAATCTGTTAGTTCAGAAGATGGAGAAACTTTCTAGTAGAGAGACTTTACCATAGGGAGGAGCTGGTTGAGAATTTTAAAATGGAAAGCATCTTGGGTGTAAGTAACCATGAAATGATAAAGAATTTAATTCTAAGAAAGGGTAGTAGAGAGAACAGCACAATAAAGAATGAATTTCAAGAGGGCAGATTTTAGCAGACTCAGGGAATTAGTACATAAGATCTCATGGAAAGCAAATCTAATGGGAAAAACAGCTTAAGAGTTGGCAGTTTTCAAAAAGACACATGGGCTATGTCTACACTGGCGGCTTCTTGCGCAAGAACATCTTGCGCAAGGGTTCTTGTACAAGAAGTCTTGCGCAAGAAAACGTCCACACTGCCATGTGCACGCTGTGCTTTTGCGCAAGAGCTCCCATGGCAGTGTGGACGATCTCTTGTGCAAGAAAGCTCTGATGGCCATTTTCGCCATAGGGCTCTCTTGCAGAAGAAATCCCTGCTGAGCGTCCACACTACCCTCTTGCGCAAGAGCTCCTGCGCAAGAGGGCTTACCCCGATAAAAAAGAGCGTAACTCTTGTGCAAGAAGCCCTCTAACCAAGCTGTACTGTAAGTTTCCTTGCACAAGAGCGGGCGGGCGGTGTGGACGCGCTGCAGATTCTTGCGCAAGAATGGCTGTACTTATGCAAGAAGCCATGAGTGTAGACATAGCCTAAGGGTACAAAAGTAAACACTGTGGGTGCATCTAGACTGGCAAGATTTTGCACAAAAATTTGCCAGCTGTCTACACTGGCCGCTTGAATTTGCACAAGAGCATTGACGTTCTAATGTAAGAATTCAGTGCTTCTTGCACAAATACTTTGACGCTCCCACTCAGGGATAAGCCCTCTTGCGCAAGAATACTTGTGCAAGAGGGCCAGTGTAGACAGGCACCTTAATTATTTGTGCAAGAAAGCCCGATGGCTAAAATGGCCATCAGAGCTTTCTTGTGCAAAAGCGCTTCTATACTGGGCATGGATGCTTTTACGCAAAAGCATCCGTGCGAATCTAGACGCTCTTTTGCGGAAATACTTTTAACTGAAAAACTTTTCCGTTAAAAATATTTCAGCAAAATCATGCCAGTCTAGACGCAGCCTCACACTGTAGGAAAGATAGAAAGTATGACAAGAGACCATGCTGGTTTAACCAGGAGATTTTCAATTATCTGAAATTCCTACAAAAAGTGGAAACCTGGTCCAAATTATATTCATTCTATGTAAACATAAGTATCTAGGGGCAAAATTAGAAAGGTCAAGGTACAAAACAAGATTACACTACAATAGAAACTCAATTATAAACACTACTGTTACAAAACTGACAACCACACACTTCATTTGGAACTGGATATATCCAATCAGGCAGCAGCAAAGAAAAAATATACATTAAATGTAAGCTACCAAAAAGGATTTTTTTTAAAAAATTTGACAAGGTAAGGAAGCTGCTTGTTTCATTTAAATTATGATTAAAAGCAGCATCTTTCTTCTGTTTTCAAAAGTTTACAGTTTTGAAACTTTAATCAGTGCTTACGAACAACCTTCATCCCCAAAGTATAGAGACAAAGGGTAACAAGTAAACATTTTAGAACTACATTAATCACAGAGATGTAGCACTGTTAGTGTGTATCTGCAAAAACAAGTAGTTCTGTAGTACCTTAAAGACTATTAGATTTATTCGGGCATGATCTATTGTGGGTAATAACAGTGCTGACAAAGTGGTTTTTACTCAGGAAAGCTTATGCCAAATAAATGTGTTAAGTCTTTAAGGTGCCACAGGATTCTTCATTTTTGCATTAAAAGAGGAAGATCAAGGATAGGTAAGCCTTTTACTTAATGGTGGTGAAGAAACTTTAACAGACTGTGGAAGTGGCAGAAGTGTTAAATGGCTTTGCTTGTTTTCAAAAAAAGGTTAGTGATTGGATGGCTAACAGTGAATGCCAGTGAAAATGAGACAAAGGCTAAAATAGGGGAAGAATGAGTTAAATTACTTAGACAAGTTAGATGTCTGTCACAAAGGTCTGATGAAATAGCTCCTTGAGTATTCTCTAGGATGTACCTGTGCCGTTACCAATTCTCTTTACAAGTGACAATGGACAGGAGAAATTCCAGAGGTCTGGAAAAAGGCAAATATAATGCCATTTTATAAAAAGGGGAATATGGATAACCTGGGGAATTACAAACCAGTCATCTTAATATTTCAGTATCTGGAAAGATAATGGAGCAAATCATTAAGCAATTAATTTGCAAACACCTAGCAGATAATCAAGTGGTAAGCATCAGCACGGATTTGCAAACCATGTCAAATAGCTCTCTTTGCCAGAGTACCAAGCCTTGTAGATAGGGGGGAAATGGTAGGTGTGGTATATCTTTATTTTAATAACTTATGGCTTTGATGCTGTCTCACATGACCTCAAACTAGGGAACTAATACAACACAGATGGAGGTATTATAAATTGGGTGCATAACTGGCTAGAAAGCCCTTCCCAAAGTAATTATCAGTAGATCAGTCAAGCTGTATAGGCATATTAAGTGGAGCCATACAGGGATTAGTTCTGGGTCCAGTTCCATTCAATATCTTTGACAAGTATTTAGATAATGGCATAAAATAAACTGATGATGCTTGTGGACAGTACCAAGCCAGGAGGGGTTACAAGTGCTTTGGAGGATAAGATTAAAATTCAAAATGAGCAGGACAACTGGAGAAATTATTTGAAGAAAATAGGATTAAATTCAATAAGGAAAAATGCAAACTATTCCACCTGAGAAGGAACAGCTGCATATGTACAAAATGAGAAATGACTGGCATGGAAGAACTACTGCAGTAAGGGATCTGGGTGTCATAGTGGATCACAAGCTAAATATGAGTAACATTGTTGCAAAAAAGCAAGCATTCTGAGCTGTATTAGCATGAGCATTGTAAGCAAGACATGAAAAGAAATTTTTCTGCTCTAATCCATGCGAATTAAATCTCACCTGGAGTATTGTGTTCAGTTCTGGGTGCCACATTTCAAGAAAGATGTAGCCAAAGTCCAGAAAAGAGCAAACACATTGATCAAAAAGTATAGAAAATACTATCTATGAGGGATGATTGAAAAAATTGGGTTTGGTTAGTCTGGAGAAGAGCAGATTGAAAGGGGACACCACAGGTTTCAAGTATGTAAAAGGTCGTTATAAGGATGGGGGAGAAAAACTTCTCTAACTTGTGACAACTAGATAAAAAGCAATGATCTTAAATTGCAGCAAGGGCAGTTTCGGTTGGATGTTAGGAAAAAATTCCTGTCAAGGTATTTAAGATAAGGATGTCAAGAATGGTCTAAATCAGGGGTGGCAAGATATGGCCACCAAGCTTTTTAATTCAGACTGCGGCCGAGCCACCAGGATCCTCAAGCATGGAGCAGCTCCAAGACACACTCAAAGCAGCTGGCTGCTCCATGTGGCACTCTGCAGAGAGTGTTAGTGGAGGTGGGGGAGGAGAGAGAGGCTTTGCATGCTGTCTCTATCTCCAACACAATCTCTCAGGTCCCATTGGCTACTTTGAATTGTCTAGGGCTGCTGGCAAGCCAGGGGGCTAGCCAGGAGCTACCTAGGTAAGCACCCCCTCCCCACCCCCTCCCACGCTCCAACTCCCTGGCCCAGGTCACCACCCAAACCCCATGTACCCTCCTGTCCCAGGTCACAACTACCTCCCAGATCCTGCACCCCCTCCTATACCCATCACCAAGGTCAGAATCCTCTCCTGCAACCATATTCCCTCTAGGACCCTGCACCCCAATTCCCTGATAAGGTTACAACCCTCTCCTTCAGCCAAACTCCCTCTCAGACCCCACACCCTATCCTGCACCCCAGTCCCATACCGAGCTCCCTTCTGCACCCAATCTCTGTCCCAGACCCTGCTCCCCCTCCATAGAAAAGTGCAGCTCTTGTCCACTTATCAAAATTTTGGAATGACCGCCCCCCCTCCCCCAACCAAATTATTGTGCACCCTTGGTGTAAATAATAATTAGTCCTGACATGAGTTCAGGGGATTGGACTAGATAATTTTTGAGGTCCCTTCCAAAGCTATGATTCTATATCTAACTAATTCACTTTTTAGGGTGCCATACCGAGGTTTTGGTAAGTGGTCTAGAGCCACACTGTGAGATCTGGGTGTGGGTGGGGAAGCAGCATTTCCCTGCCTTGAGGATAAATACATTAAAGATTGTCAGATTCTATGTCAAGGATGGGCAATAATTTTTGACCAGGAGCTACTTCAGAAATTTTTTAAGTGGCCCTGAGCTGCCCCAGAAGGAGCAGGGCCTCAAGTGGAAGGGGGGGAGGGGGAAGGGTGAGGAGAGGGCAGGACTATTCTGTGCTTCTGCACCCACTGGCCCTGACTGGTCTGTGGGTGGGTGAGCACATGAAGTCTTTGCCCCCTCCTCCTTCCCAGAGAGGGAAGAGTTCTTAACAGCTGGCAGTTCCCTCTAGGCACCTGTACCCCGGCAGTGGGAAGATACTTTGCACACTTCTCCCCTGCCCCCAGGTCAATCAGGGCCTGGAGGTGGGGAGAGCATGGGAAGTCTGCCCCCACTCTGCAAGGGAGTGCCAAGCTTAAAGTCACCTGCCAGCTGGGCAGCAGCTGTCAGTTGACACTAAGTGCTGAACCCCTTTCAGGGTGGGAGGAGACTTTGTGCACTCCTCCTTCCTCTAGGCCAGTAGTCACCAACCAGGTGATCCTGAGTAGTTTGGCCAAGAGGCTATTAAGTGCCGGCACTTCAACTGCCCCTCATCTCCTCCCCTTTGCTTTGAAGCTCCCCCTCCCAGTGGGGAGTTTCCTGCTTGCTGGGCAGGGGGGAGAGAGGAGGAGTGCTGATGTCAAGGTGCTCCCTCCCACTCGGTATCCTCTCTCCAGAGACCGGGACACAACAGGACTACGGATAGAGCAAGTTTGCTGGCTGCTTTAGGGAATGGTCCAGAGCCAGGGCAGGGTAAGGCTGCCTTAGTCCCACTGCACCACCAACCAAGAGCCACTAGCAGTGCCTAGCTGGAGCCCACATCCTGAACGCCTACCCCAGTCATGAACCTCCTTCTACACCATCACCGAGCACACCTGCATCCAAACACTGTCAGAGCCTGCACCTAGAACCTCCTCCTACATCCCAACTGCCTACCTCAAGAGCAGCTCAGAGCCCCTCACACTCCAGATCCCTTAATCCAAGACCAGAGCCTGCACCCCTCTTCTCTACCCCAGCCTGATGAGAGTGAGGGAGGACGGGTGGGGACTTGGAGAAGGGGTGGGAAGGAAGCAGGGAAAGGGTATTTACATTTGAGATAGATCTTGGATTGCACGTAAAATTCAAAAAGTGATCTCGTGCTCAAAAAGGTTGGAGACCACTGCCCTATGCCAATCAGGACTTGGAGTGAGGGGAGCACAAAATCTCTCACTCCTTGCCCTCCGGCACATGGCGCTTAGAGTCAAGATCAGAGATGGGCAAAAGGGCCTGGGGAGCACGCAAAGCCTCCTTCCGCTCTGCCAGGAGCTCTTGGCCCTAGGAGGCTTCCTCTGTGCCCCCAGGCCAATCAGGGCCTGGGGAGCTGCGTGAAGCTTCCTTTGTCCCGTCCCGGCCCTGCAAGGAGCCTGCAGCACTTCAAAGTGCCTCGTGGGATGAGAAGAGGCTTCCCGCGCTTCCTTGCCCCCAGGCCCTGATTAGCCTGGAGGTGAGTGAGCATGCCAAGCCTCTTCCAGGGCATGGATGCCTAATGCAAAGAGGGGGGCAAAGGGGCTGCCCCAGACCAAACATGGTATGGGGGTGGGGTAGCCCCACCCCTTCCTGTTTAGGCCCCACCCCTTCAGGGGTGACCTGGGGCTATTTCAAAAAATTTTGAAGTGGCCCCCAGGCAAAAATTATTACCCACCCCAGTCAAGGTTGACTCTAAGCACTGCAGAGTCCCCTGTTCCTAGGCCCTGATTGGTCAGGGAAGGGGGAACAGCAGGACCTCCATGGTCTGGATCAATCTGCTTGGTGGGCTGGAAGCAGATTTGGCCCAAAGAAGTCCTTTTGGCCACCTCTGTTCTATGGCAATGGAGGCCTGATAAGTGCCAAGGAAGAACTGTGTGCCCATTTAAACGGAGAACCAATACAGAGCCAGTGTGGCTTCCTGCTTTCCTCTGGTATTCCTGAATTTCAGAAGAACTTTGTGTGACTCAATGTTCTCTCTCTCACCAACAAAAGCATTTCTCTCTACCCCCCCCCTTCCCTTTTCCTATTTATTTTGAGTTTTCATATCTCCTACTCATAACTCCAGTCACCTGAAGAAGTGGGCTGTGCCCACGAAAGCTCATACCACCAGCTATGTGTTTTGTTAGTCTATAAAGTGCTACCAGACCATTTGTTGTTTTTTTCAATAAAAGATAGGCTATCCTGCATGTTTCATATCCTGGAAACAACACAGCTACAACTACACTACATGCTAGAGGTAGCTAAACAGTCTGCAGTAGAAACCTAGCTCTCTCTCCAGGGAGTACAGCAGAAACACTTACTTTTAGTTTTGTCATCTCTGAAGTGAAGATGAAGTATTTTGTTCACAGTTTCCTGAATGAAAAGGGAACATGATACAGAACTGGTGAGAGAACAATTACCTCCTTCTCCTACCCTTCCTGGCCATACACAGTCCTACCCTCCCTGCCCCACAGCTGGAGGAGATGCCCGTGTCCCTTCCCCATCTCTTCTGGGGCAGCACTTCTCTGGGCCTTTGTTTCCTTCCCACCCTTTCCTCTGGTCTACTACTTAGGCTGTAAGCTCCTCGGGGCAGGGCTGCCTCTTGCTCAGCCGCTAGGCTCTCGGCTCCACCACCCACCAGCGATCTGCCCCGGGCTCCCGGCGGTGCTTCGGAGAAGGTCCAGCGCGGGAACGGGCGCGGAGGCATTTCTGGGGCAGCACTTCTCTGGGCCTTTGTTTCCTTCCCACCCTTTCCTCTGGTCTACTACTTAGGCTGTAAGCTCCTCGGGGCAGGGCTGCCTCTTGCTCAGCCGCTAGGCTCTCGGCTCCACCACCCACCAGCGATCTGCCCCGGGCTCCCGGCGGTGCTTCGGAGAAGGTCCAGCGCGGGAACGGGCGCGGAGGCATTTGCGTGCCCCGGCCGCTGGCGAGAGGCGAGACCCAGGCGGACACGACGCCTCG